GAGCAAGATTCCTTTAATTTATGAACAAGATTTTCTAACCGTTTAGAATAGGATCAGTCTTTTTTTCGAGTAGGAAAATCATCCAATGACTTGTCCAGCCTTGGGTGAGGCGAGAGAGTCAGACTCTTACACGACTAATAACCACGCCGTTCTTACTTCTGCTTTGAGCCGAAGCCCCGGTTATCCGCTCGGGTATATAAAACATAACATAACATCATGCCTTTTGTCCCTGAAGGAAGGGGTAGGCAGAGGTGTACATTATACCACTGTACAATGTAACACCCACCTTTCACTATTTATGTTATGAGTCCCATGTAATAGGGGGTGAGCCTATTGCCATATACCGGGCACAATTCCAGACTCCGTGCTACTACTGTGAATTTAATGAAAAACCCAGTAATACTGTATATAACATAGCAAATATTATTATTTCGTGCCTGCTGACTGCCTCATTGGCCGTGTGGTCGCAAGTGCGACTGCCGGGCAAGGGGTCTCGGGTTCGATTCCCGGGTCCGGCAAAGTATTACTGGGGTTTTCAAAAAAGCACGGAGAGATTTTTTTTTAACCCAGTAATTCTTTGCCCGAACCGGGAATCGAACCCAAGACCCCTTGCCCGGCACTGCTCGGCAGTCGCACTTGCGACCACTCGGCCAATGAGGCAGTCTATCTAAAACTTACTAACTATATAATCTATATAAAACTTCTAATAAATGCAGGATATAATAAAATACGAAATGCTTTGCAAAACACTTTATTTCATCGAAATGTTACAAAACTTTATAAAACATTCTCCCTTAACTAGGAATGATTCGGGAATGTTTGAAGCATATAATAATACATTTGAGGGCACAATTATTATACATATATTAGTTAAATAAATACATTTAAAACTAGCTTATGTACAGAATATTAATTTATTAGCTAGGCATGGGAAGTGTATTAAAAACGCGTTGAAAATGTAATAAAATACTACATTTTTCCACTGGCAATAACAATTAGAAAGTCATTCAAATATTGTATATTTATTATAACAGTACATGATTTTAACACATGATATTGCACAACACCACAACTCTTGCATACATTCACAATAAAAAAAATATTGATTTAATATGCACATTCAGCATTAGCAGACATGATTTATGAAATTACCAAAAGGAACCATATGGCCAAAAATAAAATAGGATTTTTGAAATGATTGCACACATTTTCTTAAGCTAATACGGTACTTAATTTATTGTTTCTTTTATAGGTATTGTATTTTATATAGCTGCTATTTAGCTAAACATTTATTTACTAAGGACATATTTTGTTAAAAAGTAGTAACTTGTGTACATGTTTCTATTTTCTAAAATGTATTAACAGTAACTTAAGTACTTGCCTTACTTGATGTATAAAGTTCACATAGAAATAAGGTACAGGATACCTATGTTTTGGTAAAAAATACCATTAGTATTTACGCTGAATTTCTAACAAACTCACACAAATTATCAGGCATACAATTTATAAGCATGGGTGAATATGAATCTACTTACAGATTTCTATGTTACAAAAAGTTTAAAGCTGTAAACAGAATGACAAGTTAGGTTATAAATGAGGCATTATACTGGGTTCCATAGACTTTTTACATTTCGAGAAGCACTACTCTGTAGTCTCTGTCTCTACACTGTAGTATCTCTACTACTACTTTATAATAATAATATATTGTATGTAGTTGTTTGGTTATTTATCTGTTTAGTTTTAAGTCTGTTTTCTATTCCAATTTTCTATTTGTTAGTCCAGGAAGAAATCCCAATAGGAGTAGGTGGTACCTTTGTAAATTAATTTTATGTATGTGTTGTCCTTTATGTTGTATGTGTGTACATAAATAAATAAATAAATATGACGTCAGGATCTTAAACGCCAGTGGCGTTATCTACTAAGCGCAAAAATGTCATCTATATGCCTAACCTGACCAACTGTCTTAACAAAACTTTCAACTTACAGTAAATAATGTATCGCTTACAAGCACTTAGTTTAACATTATTATTCTGCAGAGAATTTTAACATTCAAATTCATAACAATTTGTTATCAAAAGCTACAGATATTGTTTGATGAGCAATAGTTACAATTGAGCTCAATGCGCGTTCAATATATTAATTTATACAACATACATACGTACATTAGTTCATGATAACAATAGATAGATACCTACTAAAAAGATAATATTATTCACAACTTCTTTTATGAAGTATTTATACATGTTTAGAAGCTAAATGAGGCGTAAGATGACCAAAAACCGTTGAATAACTTTCAAGTTTGGACGATTTACGTCACATTAACACCATCTAGGGGGTATGAAGACTGTCTTAGGAAGCCGAATGCATCACTTTACTGCTTCACATTTTGCAATTCACATATTTCTATACAAGGCCATTCCTTTTAAGCCATAAAAATATATGGCAACACTTCGAAATTCTACAACACTCAAAGACTGACCAATGACAGTTGCTCTACTTAAAATACTGACATTCAGCTAGAAATCTAATTAAGAGCTTAAAGGTAGAAAATAGTATTTATTAACTACTTTTGGTCTAGTTTTGTATTATTTTCACAAATTGCATATCATAAACTTAAAATATAATTGTTTGTTAGTAATATTTGTTAATGTTAAAATATGAAAAAATCAATTAATGCTTCGTTGCTCATTTAAAGACATCTAAGGGTGCGTCCACATTTGGCGAATGTGCAGCTCGAGAGCCGATTGCGACCTACCCACGAGCTGCGCGCGTGCATTTTTGTTCGTGGGCCGTTTTTGCGCCGCCCGCGCAGTTCGCGCCCGACTAAACTAACTAAATTAAAAAACTAAATTACAATACTAAATAAAATTATTTCGTTTTGAACCATATAAAATAAGGGGTGTGTATTGCAAATTAATATAAACGGTTAAAGTTATTTTACGGATATATTAGATATTAAAATAGTAAAATAAATAGCTAGCTACAATAAAAATTGTTCTAGTGTTATAATAATGAATAGCTATCGTAGAAAGCCTAGGCATAGACAAAGTAATTTTCAATGTTAATTTCTTTCCTTTGGCATAAAGTCAAGTAGTGTATCTATACAAAGTTAAACTAAAATATGATAAAATATACCTACGCCGTCGTCAATTTTAGGTTAAATACCTAGGTAGTTAGAGCGACCGTTAATTTTGGCGGGAGTTAACAAAAGTGACATTTATTTGACAGCAAAGCTCTTAATGTTGCCATCAACTATTTATTTTATTGGTAAATATATTTTAATAATTTATTTATTTCTAATAACTAACTATATTATGCAATTTCATCTGTACTTGTTATACTGAGATCATATTTAGCACAACTATTTTGTTATAAATTATACTTCCTAACAGGAAATGTTTCAACATTCTCATCATGATCATTTACTGTTAAAAAATTAAGTAAGGAGGCTATTGAGAAATAAGGTCTCTTATGCACTTTTTTTTAAACTCGAGGGGAGTCACAGGTACGATACTGGCCTTTCACTGATGACATTTACTCGGCACAAAAATATCACAGGGCACAGTATCGCTTCTATGCCGTGACAAATATACAGATTTCATATACCTAATATTAAATAAGCATCTTTTGCGGCAATAATAGCAAATTGATTTGACATTACCTTATTTTTATAAAGGCAAACGTGTCTTTCGTACTAACACGGAAATTAAAAAATTATTTATATTGATATAGAAAGATATAATCAATACCGGACTGATAAATTACCGATATTGTTAATGTTTTGATTGGTTATAAGCACACATTTCCAATTTATTTATTTATTATCGAATCATAATGAGTGTAAGAAACAGGATTTGTTTTCAAAACCAAAACTTTGGAGTTAATTATTAACCACCGCGTTAATAAATGTTATCATATTTAGATAGTTTAGTTTTCAACTAAAACCGCAGGTTACACACGTGAAAATATTGAGAAAAGCTTTACTCGACATCGCCGCGACCGCGCACGCTAATTACGAGGAAGAACCCCTCTGTAGTTCGAAACTCGAAAGTCTGACTGCACGGTTGGTTGGCTGGGCAACCGGCTGCCGTGCAACATGTCGCAGGTTCGATTCCCGCACGGAACAACACTTTGTGTGATCCACAAATTGTTGTTTCGGGTCTGGGTATCATGTGTATGTGAACTTGTATGTTTGTAAACGCACCCACGACACAGGAGATAATCCTAGTGTGGGGCAAAGTTTAAAAAAAGAAGAGTTTTTCCCAGTATTTTCACGTGAATAACCCGCGATTTTTAGTTAATTTAGTATGTCTCACGATAGTTATTATAATTTCGTTCAGAATTTGACGAAACCCGAGTTTATTAATCATAATATTGATCAAACAAATGTACGAACATCAAAAGCGTTTTTAGTTGTACACGCTGACGCAATAATACTTGATTATCTTGATATTCGATAGCTTTCCTGGTAGTAAATCATTCAAAAACTGTAAAGTCCCGTAGTACAGCTTAAGAATGATACTTACGTTATACAAATATAGACCTTATCGTGATTGGCGACAAATGATTTTCCCTTATTACAGACCTTCACTTATGGCTCACGTTACCTAAAACTAAGTTGATTGATTGAGCTATTATAATTGGATGTATTTTACATCTTATCAGAGACAAACTAAGATATTAAGAGCGTATGCGCACTATGACATAATGAAGGCTATTGCTATTAAATGCTAGGGGGCGGTGGTGGATAAAAATTCTATAGTAGGTATAGACCAATAGCCTATTTGTTCAATCTCATTTAATTAATATGTAATATCATTATTACACTGACATACCCTTACTCGACACCAGCGCCACCTACAGATCGCAAAAACGATAGCCTGTACTAAAAATGTGAGCATTTCAACCTCTAAGATCTAACCAGAGGTACAAGCAACGATGACATGTCATCGGAGTAAGTTTTAACAATTTTTCTACTTAAAGAGAAAACCTTACATTATTTAAGGAAGTTCGTGGAATTCAAAGTCTGTGTATAGTTGTTCTACGCGTCTGTATACTTCGTCGCAAGAATTCAGTGTTTGGGGCAACACTGCTAGCGCTGCTGTCAAGCTTTCGTCCGTACCGAAGATCTGGAATTAACAAAAATTATGTAAATAAAAGTAAATCTATTTACTTTAACACACGTCTATTATTTCCCTAATATCCAAATACTCCAATACCTAAATTTTAAGTCGCGGTTAATAGGGTAGTTTCCTAAATTTTATTTTAATGTCCGTCTGGTATATTAATTTAAAACTTTAGATACGTATTTTTTCTTTTCTCACTAAATTAAATACTTTCGAAGATATATTAATTTGAAATATCGTGTGACGTCATAGCGTGTCACATTTTGTAGCACGTTATGACGTAACGTGACGTAACGAACTCCTAAACTTAGCGCCATTTTATCTAAGTATTGCAAATTAATAGGAGAAAAAAAATACGTGTCTAATATTTTTTTATTAGCCAACTGACAGACTAATTAGATTTTTAATTTTGATACCCCGGACTCAACCCCATTATAGTTCTGTCACAACAAATTCTATGTAAAATGACAGAGATGGCACGATATTTAACCACAAATTAAAATTGAATAGCCTTTAAGTATTCCGACGTAAACGTTTGATAGAAGTATAGTAAGTCAATGTAACAATTAATTTTCGTAGGAATACTCAAACGCTATTCAATTTTACGTCGCGCTTAAGTATAGTTCTGTCTCCACAAATTCTTTGTAAAATGACAGAGATGGCATGATATTTAAGCACGACTTAAAATTGAGTAACGTTTCAGTATTCCGGCATTAGCGAGCAAAGAAATGGAGCCACTAGCATTTCTTCTTTTAATTTATTAGCTTATTATTTATTTAACTTATTAGACACGTATTTTTTATTTTCTCGTATTAAGTTGCAATGCTTAGATACAACGGCGCTAAGGTTAGCAGTGGGAGGTTGTTACGTCATAACGTGCTACAAAATGTGACACGCTGTGATGTCACACGATATTTCAAATTAATATATCGTCGAAAGTATTTAATTTTGTGAGAAACGAAAAAATACGTGTCTAAAGTTTTAAATTAATGTACCAGATGGACATTAAAATAAAGTTTAGGAAACTGCCCTATTGTATGAGAAAATATTTATCAAGAATAGGGTTCGTAACCCCATGTAATAGGCGATAACTACAAATTGACCTCAAAGTCATTTTTTACGTGTTAGTATATATTAACACGTAAAAAATGACTTTGAGGTCTATAAAGTTGTACTTACCATATGGTAAGTACAACTTTATAACGCAACTAGCTACTTCCGTGCGGTTTCACAGGCTCTGTTCAGCTTCTATTGGTCGTAGCGTGATGTTTTATAGCCCATACCCATCCTCGATAAATGCGCTATCCAACACAAAAAGAATTATTCAAATCAGACTTGTAGTTACGGAGATTAGCGCGTTCAAACAAACAAACAAAAAAACAAACTCTTCCGCTTTATATAATAGCATAAGAGTATAAGATACCACAATCGTGGCAATTTGTTTTTATAACACCGCGTTAATTCGTCAAGCAATTAGCGTCTTTATTTCGAACTCATAAGTACCTATTATTATCGTAAATGAAGTTTATTTGTAGCAATTTACTTACGTTGGTTTTGACGCACGGTAGGAACAATGTAAGGCGCGTATTATTGTTACAAATCAAAGAAAATGAATACAAAAGATTGAATGGAGGACGGTACGGATGTCGCATCACAATGCTACAAGTATGATAAAATCGAAAACATTGTTATTGACAGAGTTTTTGGCAGAATAAGTGCTATATTGTCATATTAGTTGGCGCTAGTGATGCAAATGGTCCTATCACTATGGACTCCAAAAGGTAAGTGATCTATGACTAACTAACATATATCAGAGATAGTTACTAGTTTTCTTATATTATTATCCAAACTATTTGAAACAGTCAGTAAGTTGTATAGTAAGAGAAGGGACCAAAGATCTCTCCTACTAGTCTAAGCGAGCCAGATTTTTTTCAAAAGTTTTTCTATTGTTCTTATTGGAATATTTGAGTTTTATTATAAAAACCGGCTCAAATGAAATACATACAAGGAAAATATAACAATCAAATCTTGAATTCAAATATCTTTATTGCTAAGCATTCAGAGGCCTTAGTACCTGTTTCTATTACGTTTAAAGTATTCAAAACGAGTACGCGTTCGGCGCACTGATTGGCCGGCGCCAATGATGGTTCATCACTCACCAATCGGAGCGCCGAACGCGTACTCGTTACGATTGGCTCAGATGGCCTGAGATGCACTGCAAGATGTTAGATGAATGCACAGTTCATCACGTTCCACCAAAACGAGTTCTAGATTAAAACTGACTTCACTTAAATCACTTTTAATTTTTTTTATTGTACACCATAAAAACATACAGAGAAAAAAATGTATACAATGGGCGGTCTTACCGATGGAGGAGATAGTAATCAGGAGTTGAAAAAAGGGGGTCGTCGGTCGTCCAGTGTACAATAATAATCAAACCAATACATATTAAACTTATTATAAATACAGGCATAAAAAACCACGTTAAATGATTACGTCATAAGAGAAGAAGCATGTTATATTATTGATTGGGTAGCACGCGACGGATTCCTACAGTAAACTTATATTTAGTTGTATTGATTCGCCTCCCTAATTGGCCCAATTGTGATTGTAGATATGAACGCGTATTATCATGTATGTTCGCGGCACGCGAATGAATGCGTGATAAACTGTGATATTAACAATGGGTATATGAATATTTACAATTCTTTGTAGTTGAAGAAATATAATGAATGTAATTAAAGTATTGATAACAAATCATAGTCATTTCGGCTGGATCCATGAACAAAAACGTCTAATGTAGAATATTTTTCTTTTCTAAATGCATTTTCTCCTGTGCTTCTCTTGTGGTCGTCGATTTTGCTTACAAATATCACACTTCGTAATACATTTTAAAGTACATATTAATAGGTTCAAAAATCACAACTATTCAGTTTCCAATGCTGATAACCTCGAGTTCTAAATAAATAAAATTATAACTACCTACGAATTAATAAATGTATGAAATACATAACATCACGCCTTTTATCTCCGAAGGGATAGGCAAAGGTAAACATTACGGCACTTAATGCCAGTGTTATGTTATGGCTAAGGCTGTTTTCAACTTTATGGTCTGTCCGATCATGAAGGAAGAAACAGATAGGGACGCGACCCTGGCCGCCTGAGCTACTGCAGGAACTTTCCTCGTATCCTTTCCGTTTCTGCAGTATCCCCGTTAACCTTTGAGCTGTGGAAGTTTTTGATCACTACTGTCTCTGTACGGGGTGATCGTAGCTTCCACAGCTTTCCTATCCCATAGACCCACAACCCCCTACCAAGCATCCTTACTTCCTTTTCCCATCCATAGGGATATGCGACAGGGCATTATGAACAGGGGATTAAAGAGTACACTACCCCAGGAGGGTACCAGCTCCGCTGGAGAATCCCTCCCTGAGCATGATTGCTCAGGCAGCCCCGTCGTATCTGGGGGGGGCGAAATTCCCGACGGCGACGTGCTCTGCCACACGTCACGTTTTGTCTCCCCGTGCGTAGGCAGAAAGCGGACTGAGGATTGCCTTTTTGCTACACTGAATGTGTGTGGAGGTGTAGAAGGCAAGATGTTAGAAATATGTGAGATGATGAATACAAGAAAGATTGATTTGTTAGGGGTGAGCGAGACGAAAAGAAAGGGTTGTATGACTACCACGCATGGCCAATATATTGCTTACTGGTCTGGTGTTGCAAGTTCCCAGAGAGGCAGCCAGGGCGTGGGGGTCATACTATCTGAAAGGATGAATGAATGTGTGAAAGAGTATGAATGTGTGAGTCCCAGGATACTTTGGATCCGCCTTAAAGTTGGCTTGACCAAATTATTTGTCATCTGTGCGTATGCCCCGGACATGTCAAAGCCAATTGGGGTGAGGGAAGTATTCTGGGATAACTTGAGAGATGTTCTTAATGAATGTAAAGAGAATGAAAGAATAATTATGCTTGGAGATTTTAATGGATGGGTTGGAGTGGCACGCGATGGGTACGAAGAGTATTAGGGCGATTTGGAGACGAACGAGTGAACGAGAATGGTGTATGTCTTCTGGATATATGTGTAGAAAAGGAACTTGTTGTGACCAACACAACATTTGGTCACAAGAAGATACACATGTATACATGGCAGAGGCATACAGAAAGAAGTATGATTGATTTTGTGATTGTTGATGAACGCCTGAGGACAAAAGTGAAGGATACAAGGGTTTACCGTGGCACGAATGTCGGAAGCGACCACTTCCTAGTAATTACCAGAATAGCTGGACTGACAATGAAGTGGAGACATCGGCCACGGGTAAAGTTGCCTGGAACCGAGAGAGTGAGAGTTGAACGGTTGAGAGAAGAGGAAGTTAGGGACCAGTACAGGAAATTATTAAATGAAAGGTTTAGGGAGCTAATGAAAGGTGACGAATGGAATATAGAAGAATTTTGGAAGGAATTTAAGGATGGAGTGATCGCAGTAGCTACTCAAGTATGTGGGGTAAGCAAGAAAAATAACACTGGAAGCAAGAGGAATGAATGGTGGGATGATGAAGTAAAAGAGGTGATAGAGCAAAAGAAGAAAGCATGGCTTGACTTATTAGCCTCAAAGGCAAATAGGAGAGTGCTAGAAAGTATGAAGGAAAAGTACGTAAGTCTCAAAAAGAGAGCAAAAGCGGTAGTTAGCAAGAAGAAAAATGAATGCAAGGAAAAGTTTGAAAGGAATTTTTCGCAGAACTTTCGAGCCAACGCTAAACTATTCTGGCATTTAGTTAGAAGGGCCAGAGGCAAAGTGGGGGACTCGAAAGTAAGTACGATAAGGGATATAAATGGGAGTGTCATTGGAGAAAGTAAGGATGTTTTAAAGCAGTGGAAGGAATACTTCGAGAATTTATTTGAAAGGAGTGATTTGAAAGAAGAGGAAGTAAACGATGAGAATGAAAGTGCTAATGTGGGAGAAATAAATATGGATGAAATTGTGAGTGCCATTAAGAGTTTGAAAGTAGGTAAAGCAGCGGGATGTGATAGGATAACTTCTGAAATGCTAACAGAGGGTGGAGGTGTGTTTTTAATAAGTGTTGGCGGTGCGGTCGTGTCCCGGGAGACTGGGCCAAGGCCGTAATTGTGCCACTATATAAAGGAAAAGGATCACAGCAGGAGTGCAAAAATTATCGCGGTATAAGCCTCCTAAGCGTAGTAGGAAAGTTGTATGCCAAGGTATTGATCGAAAGAGTGATGGATGTAACTGAGCGTAAAATCTGGGATGTGCAAGCGGGATTTCGAAAGGGAATGGGGTGTACGGATCAAGTCTTTTCGTTACGGTGCATTTCAGAGAAAGTGTTATCAAAGCACCAAAAGGTATTTTGTGCCTTTATAGACCTAGAAAAGGCTTATGACAGAGTGGTGAGGGATGAACTGTGGTCAACTCTGTCCATGTATGGGGTGGATAGCCACCTGATTCGGGCACTTAAATCCTTATATAAGGACTCGAGTGCCTGTGTCAGAATAAATGGGGACTACACGGAGTGGTTTGACATTAATCGCGGTGTTAGGCAAGGCTGTGTAGCATCTCCTTGGCTGTTCAACCTATTTATGGACAGTTGTTTGAACGACCTGAAAGTAGGAGAGCCTGGATTAAGGATGAATGACACAGTGATTAAAACATTGTTGTATGCCGACGACCAGGTGCTTGTTGCCTCGTCGGCCCAAGAATTACAACAAATGGTCACTGCTATGAGTGATGCATTTGAAAGGAAAGGTATGAAAATAAATGTGAACAAGACGAAAGTGTTGGTGATAGAAAGAAATGAGGTGATAACAGAATGTCAGGTAATGATAGGTGATGAAAAATTGGAACAAGTGAATGAATTTGTGTATCTGGGATCACTATTTACGAGAGATGGAAAGTGTGACGGGGATATTGAAAGGAGAGTGAAAGCGGGAAATAGTGTTAATGGTGCTTTACACTCTGTAATGTCGAGTAAAATAATATCCAGCAAAGCTCGACTTGCTGTAATGCAGTGTGTATTGACACCAACGCTTATGTATGGTAGTGAATCATGGGTGTGGCAGAAGAAGCATGAAAGCAGGATTAATGCGGTGGAAATGAGAGCCCTGAGAAGTATGTGTGGACTAAAATTGAGTGATCGAGTGAAAAATAGTGTTATTAGAGAGAGGTGTGGATTGAAAGACGATGTAGTGACAAGGATTGAAAAGGGAATGTTACGCTGGTTTGGACATGTAGAAAGGATGGATGAAAGTAGAGTAACGAAAGAAGTATACAGAGCGGATATGAATGGAGCCGTCGGTAGAGGGCGCCCTAGACGGACATATAGTGACCAGATTGGCGATATATTAAAGAAGGGCCAAATTAAAAGTACCCTTAACCGACGAGCATGCATGAAAAGATTGATGACTGTTAATGAAGCGAAAGAGGTATGTAAGAATCGTAGTAATTGGCGTTCCTTAGTCTCTGCCTACCCCCATGGGAGACAGGCGTGAAGTTATGTATGTATGTATGTAATGCCAGTGTACAAAGTAACACCCATTTTTCACTATTTATGTTATGAGTCCCACGTAATAGGGGATGAACCTATTGCCATATACCGGACAAACTTCAGACTCCGTGCTACTACTGAGAATTTTTTAAAAATCCCAATAATGCTTTGTTTCACCCGGGAATCGAACCAAAGACCTTGTCCGGCAGTCGCACTCGCGACCACTCGGCCAATGAGGCAGTAATATATGACGATATAAGAAATCTTACCTTTTTTAACAAATCCGGTCTCGAAGGTAACGCGTGCATGGCTAAAGTGGCTGCCTTCCTAATGTACCAGGGATGGAAGTTGGCCAGGGTCTCGTTGTAGGAGCCCTGGCACGTGGTACACGTGTTCATGTTCTCGTCCGCCTCGCTCAGACGCTTCAGGAACAAACGTATGAAGTCTGTAAACAATGCGTTCGTTTTTAATGCGTTGTTGTACCTACAATAGTGTAAACGTTAAAGTTAATGTCATCGGTGTTGTGAAGGAGGTACGGTTTATATTTTAAGTGATATATTAGTAAGAGTCACGTACTACATAGGTGCTTGGTGTGTCGTTTCCAAGAAGAAAAAGACATTGCAGGCATTTTGTGTCATTCAATTTAAAATTCAAAACAGTATTGACTGATGACGTCAAAAGCACAATTTGTAGTAACATTTTCTAACAGTTTTCCATTATCTAGTTGTTTTTGTTATCTATCGAAACCCTTATTTCTTTTATCAGAACACTAGGAAATATCCACGGTTCATTCAGCACGGGCTCACGGCGATATAACGCGTTAAATGTGTCTTTATTGAATTGAATCAAACATCATTGACTCGGAATGGTAATGAATGTAGCCGACATACATTGTCTTTCGGTTGGTTTGATTTGAAACAACTGTTTTGACTTTGACAATATTGAGATGAGGCTACAGAAAATATGAACCAACTGTTTGAGGAATCACATGGAAGACAAGGACGTTTGTAATGTGATGATCAAACGTCATCACAAAGAGTAATAGATTAGAAAAAGACCTATAGAATCGACTTTAGGAATAAAAGATAGTAAATAGAAATAAAAAGGACTTATAAACTTACGACAAGGTCAGGGAGAAATAGAAGTAGAAGAGGCATAATGACACAGCATCCAGGTACGCCACAATCGTAAAGAACTTAAAAAGGATGCCTCAGTAAAAAACTACTAATTCAGATCCTAAATTCAAAAGAGTAAATCTAAGAAGTATAAGAAGAGTGAAAGAATAATCTTTATGCACATTTGTGCCATTGTGCGCTTATAACATTTAGTATTTATGACCAAGTCGTCATCAACAGCCTATAAATGCCCACTGCTAAGCAAAGCCTCTTTTCACACGGAGAAGGTTTGAGCATTAATCATCACGCTTGCTCAATGCGAGTTGGCGAATTCAAATTTATAATTAGAAATTATAAGCCCAGGTTTCCTCACGATTTTTTCCTTCACCGTTTGTCAGTGGTCTCTATAGAATCTTAGAAAGTACATAAACTCGGAAAAAGTCACATTGATACTTGCTGTCGGTAGTGCCGTTATAACCAAGTAGCTTCAAGAAACTATTTTTAATGTAGCATGTAATTAGATATTGTTGTTCATATGGAGCAGAGTTACAGACTATTGTTACACATATTTACGGCATGAAGTTTCCCAATAACAATAAGTACCTATACACGGTCATCTGTGCGAAAGTAGAGTACCTAGGTACTTGGTTATCGTTGCTCTCAATATTACGACCTATTTCGATGGTACGGCTATCGATGCAGAGTAAATAAACAGAGCATTGTGATGTATAAGCGGTGCGCAAACACAGGTGTACTGCGTATGACGTTACAGTCTCCGAGAAATGGGAGTGGAACTGCCGTCTGATATTTATGGAAAATTGCTTTTTATACTATCCATACTAACGAAGTTATAACCTATTGTGTGTTTTATATCTAATCATTTTGGACTCGAGTACGTCTTAAAATTGCGACCGATTACTGAAGGACGGGAAGCAGTGTCCTTTAAACTAAAGCCACTTGGCATGGCTTTGGGATTGTAGTTTTTTATTTAGGTAGTTGATGTCTTCCTGCTGATGAAGACCAATTTTTTTAAGGGGGGAAAAATCATCGAATGACTGCTCCCGCCTGGGTGAGGCGGAAGGGAGTGTCAGACTCTTACTGACTAAACCACCCCGTTCCTTCTCCTGCACGTCGAGCCGGAGCCCCGGTTACCCGTTAGGTTCTCCGCGACCTGAAGAAGACCTTTAAAGGGCACTAAGCCTAATACATTATTTTGAGATAATACAACGCTTGCGTTGTGTTTCGTCGTGTGAGTGAGGTTACCGTAGGTTCAGTTACCTCTTCCCCAATCTCTCCAATCCCTGAACAATCCTCAAATTCCTAATCCCCAAAAGGCCAGTAACGCACTTGTAACGCCTCTGGTGTTCCGGGTATCCATGGGCGACGCCAATTGCTTACCATCAAGCGATCCATCTGCTCATTTACTGGGTTATCCCATAAAAAAACAAAATGTCTATCATGTTTGACTACTAAATGACGACATGCCAATTAGAACGTTAAAAAACAGACACAACGAAGACTACAAACTACATAATCTTACATACTTTATTACTAGAACAGTAAAGTTGTAACTGTTGAAGTGGTGGATGTGGTTGAATAATAGATAATAGCTTGTTATATTTCGTAGTTTTATTAAAAATCTCACAGAAAGCACATGATGGGCGCCATGCAGACGACAAAAGGGAAGAATACAGATAATATATCGACGTCTATGAGAAACTTGCCAACTTAACACTAGATGGCGCTACTTATATTATTTAACTTAAGATTATAATATTTACCTTATTACAACACGCCTCCTTAAATTTATAATCTTAACATTTTATCTTACATGAACAGTATTTTAAAGTTATTACAGTTTTAATATTTTACTTAAACAGTACTTTAAAGTAATAATCTGTACTCTTAACTAAATTAATCTTAATTCAAACCTGTTTTTCAAAAATTTTGTTTTATCTAGACTCTTAGTCAACATATCTGCTAAGTTACATTTTGTATCAATTTTAATTATATCAATAAGTTTGTTTTCATAATTCTCGTTTATATAATGATATTGCACTTCAATGTGCTTTGAATTTTTAGTAAAGTTACCATACTTAGCTATTGCAATTGCACCTGAGTTATCTTCATACAATTTTATTGGATAACAAAAGTTTATATCAAATGACTCACTTAACAAATTTCTTATAAAAAGTACTTCAGTTACTGCCTCTGACAATGCAATATACTCTGCAAAAGTTGAACATTTAGTTACTGTATTTTGTTTACGTGTTTTCCAAAATATTAAATTTCCAAAAAATCTTATAATAAAACCTGTTGTAGACTTCCTATCCACATTATCCCCTGCATAGTCTGAATCAACCATACAGTCTAAAATATCAGCATCTGCATTATCATAATATGTTAACTTTAGATTCTTAGTTTTATACAAATATTTTAACACCCTCATTGCATATTTGTAATGTGTTCGGTTATAACAACTTTGATATCTACTCAAATAATTAACGCTGTACGCTACATCTGGTCTTGTGCCTGTACTAATATACAATAATTCACCTATTATATTTCTGTACTTAATACTTTCATCGACCTCACTAGCTTGCTCTAATTTTAAATTTGTTTCCATAGGAGTATCATATAACTTAGTATTTACCAAATTATACTTTGCAGCCAAAGATTCAATATACTTTGTTTGACTTAATGTCATCACATTTTTATCATCATTATACTCAAATCTATGCCAATATAGCTTTTAATTTTCCCCAAGTCTTTCATTGCAAATCGTTTCATTAAACTTGTTTTCACCTCTTTTATTTTATTTTTATCTTTACAACATATTAAAAGATCATCAACAAATATTAATATGTATATTGGATCTTTGCTTGCTTTTTTAACATACAAACAGTAATCATAACTACTTCTAACAAAATTCAAAGTTTTTATAAATATATCAAAACAATCATACCACACTCTAGGACTTTCTTTGAGACCATAGAGAGCTTTTTGCAATTTGTAAACTTTATTATCTCCTGTTTTATAACCTTCTGGTTGATTTACATAAACTTCTGACTTTACATAACCATTTAAAAAGGCTGTTTCAACATCCATTTGCTCTACAAATAATTTATTTTTACAACTGTATGACAATAAAATTTTCAAAGTTTGCATTTTTCCAACAGGTGAGTAAGCATTTTCATTAAAATCTTTTTGCTGAAACCCTCTCACAACCAATCTAGCTTTATATTCATTATTACTTTTCTTTTTAAAAACCCATTTAACATCAATTACCTTTTTATCTTTTGGTTTTTCTACAATTTGCCAAGTATTATTTTTATTTAAACTATTTATTTCAGAATCCATGGCTATTTGCCATTGCTTACTATCATTGGAGTTCATCGCCTCCTCGAATGAATTTGGTACATTTGCATCAATATGGTTAACATAAATAAAGTGTGTAACTGGATTACCATATCTAGAAACTGGGATTCTCTTTCTTTTCTGTGATTCTACTAAAACGTCATTTTCTCTATTATTATTTACGTTACTACTAGAATAAGTCTCATCTGCATCTACAAAGTTTTCATCGGTTTCATATTCATTTTTAACCTCTTCATTTGAAACATCTAAAGTATTATCACTTTCCAAATCTTTATTATTTTGATTGTCTACTTTTTCCAAACAAATTAACTGAGTATTTTCTTCAATTACCTGTACATGCCTTGCATTAATTATTCTGTTATTTAACAAAACTCTGTAACTATTTTCATTATAACCCACTAAAATTCCTAGTTGAGCTTTATCATCCCATTTACTTTTTCTTAACACTTCAGGAACTCTAACATAGACTCTACTTCCATAAATTTTTAAATGCTCTACATTTGGTTTGACCCCAAAAAATATCATAAGGAGTTTTATTTTCAACTGTATTTGCAATAGTACGATTCTTTAAATAAGCTGCTGTTTTTATTACTTCAGGCCAGTACCTCCTATGTATTTTAGCTTCTCTCATTAAACATCTACCTATATCCATAGCAGACCTATTATACCTCTCCGCTACTCCGTTTAACTCATGAACATAAGGTGGACATGGTAACAACTCTATGCCCTTATACCTTATAAAATTATAAATATCCTTATTTAAATACTCTCTACCATTGTCACACTGAATCTTCTTGACTCTTTTATTAAATTTATTTTCTACTAAATTTATAAACTCTATAAAACACTTTGCAGTTTCAGCTTTACTTTTAATACAAAATATCCTGGTACACTTACTATAATCATCAATAAAGGTTAAAAAATATTTTTCTCCACCATAACCAGTTGTGTT